AAACAGGCTCCAGGCTCTGAGCCATCAGCCCAGAGCCCGACGCGGGGCTCGAACTCACAGACCGCGAGATCGTGACCTGGCTGAAGTCGGACGCTTAACCGACTGCGCCACCCAGGCGCCCCAGAAACTACTTTTTTAATAGCGGCAGAGGAAGATCAGACCATTTTCTGGCATGGCTCTTATGTTAAACTCACTCCAGAGCACACTTCACCTGCCATTTGGTCTCTAGCTATAACCCACAACCAAGCTGAGTGCCCCTGGGTGGTATACTCCAAATTGAGGACCAGAAGAACCATTCCCAATATGCAGCAGACTTGGTAGGTCTTACTATATTCTTCTGCCTGTTGTCTGACGTGCCTGTTTAAGACTTTAATTCTGTCTCATTAGCTGGTATCATTAAGCCTATTTTGAAGGTCAGGGCTTAAGTTTGCTTCTAAACACTGGGATTCACAGACCTGCAACAGGACAGTGTGACAGGATAAACCAAAAACCAAGAGTCGTCATTTCCTTTCCTGCTGGCACATTTTATTCTTATTGACTGGTATGTGTCAAGTTTTTTTAAATGGTTTTCACGGGATGCACCATGGTTTACAGATATTTTATTACAGGTTTAACTATGTTCCCAGCACTGTTCTGAGTCCTGGCTTCATAGTGCTTAACCACATAATACAAAAGTCCCTGCCCTAGTGGAGTTTAAAGTCTAGGATGGAGATGGAAACAAAGTAAAACAGTAGGTTGAACTACATTTTATGTCCATTTTTGTAGGTCACAAATGGTCAAATATTGAAAGTTTCATATGATTCAAAGTAATATATTCTATGTTAGTAATCATAAATGCTAAGGAGAAATAAAGCAAGGACAGTGGGGAGATACAGGGTTGGGATTTTAAATAGATTGGAATGGAAGGCCACACCAACACGGTGGCATCTGTAGCCTAAAAGCCATCTGGAAGGAAGACACTGCTGGGAAGAGGAATAGCAAGTGCAAAGGCCTGAGCATGGCTGGATGTCCGTGAAAAAGCCCTCTGGCTGCTGAGGCTGGAGCAGAGAGCACAGGGTTACAAAGGCAGGCAGGGGTCAGTTTGAACAGGTAATAGGGAGCTGGATGACAGGGCCTTGAAGGCCAAAGAGAGAAAAGATAAAGCTGGATTTTACTCTGAGATGGGGAACCCTAATGGATCTGTTTCTCACTTTTATTAACAAGCAAAAAAAATCTGTTAGAGTGGTGTTTCAGTGCTAAGGAATGCTTGTTAGGGCCCAGGCTGCTCATAAGATGCACTGGGCCTGAGAGCAGTGGAGTTAGGACATTGTAAGGTAGGGACTAAGCGTGGCAGTCACTGGAGAGGGCCACCTGAATCATTAAACTTTCTGGAATTCCTTTGGTAGAGAGCCTGTGTGTAAATACCAGAAAGAAGAAAAATGGGACTTTTTTTTTTTTTTTTTTTGCTTACCCAAAGGCCCACTGTTTCCTTTCTCTCAATGAGATGTAGGTCTTGCATTTTCATGGCATTAACTGTGCTAGTAACCACTCTGATGAGTGTTGAGAGGAGAGATCCCAAAAGCCACGGCAAGGTACATGGTAGCCATTTCCCCCCTCTGAGAATCTGGTTAAGGCCCTCTTGTGTTTGTCTAGGCTGGCTGCCCTGGGTGGCAGCCTGTGGTTTCAGCACAGATGGCACCCACCGGGGCTTGCAGAAATACCAGGGCCCACTTTTTTTACCCTCCCACATGGACTGCCCTGTGGGCTTATAAATATTCAAGCTGAGGCTTTGGACAAACTCATAAGCATGGCACCCTTCTATGTTAAGAAAAGCCTCCCTGCTGTCCTTATTCACAAATTGGCCAGTAGCTGCCACAGGATTTTAAGCTGGGCTGACGCACTTCTAGAACCTTAGCTGAGCTATTAGAAAGGGGGAACAGCTAGAAGCACTAAGGAGCAGTGTTGGAGTGAATGTGACTGCTTGGTGAAGAGGGATCTGATATTAAAATAAAGACTATTATTTAATTATTTTGAAACTGCCTATTTCCCACAAGGATCTGAAATAGCCAAAGTAAGGTATTTTTTATGTCCTAAAACCAACTCCATCCCTGTGTAAAGGCAAACTCTATGCTTTCTGTCTTGATCATATTAAAAAACATTACTTATGCGGCGTAAGCCCAATAATAAAATGATATACATAATTAATATTTAATCAGAGCCACAATTTAAATATGAACACTTGGGTCTTTTATAGGGACAAGCAGCTAATTAGGCTCCCTTGCCTAGAGCTTGACCATAGAGCCTCCATGCCAGAGAGTCTCTGAATCCTTGCAGAAGTCTCAGCCATGGTCCCTCACCATTTCCAGGGTGGTAACTTAGTACCTGTGGGTGGAGACTACCAAAGTTCCATGTTCCTTGGGTGAAGTTTCCTAGGGAACGAGATGGAGATTAATCAAGCTTTATCATAGGCCCTTTGAAATACAAAAGAATTTGCTCAGTAATTTTAGATCTCCCCAGCTGAGTAAAGTATGTTCCGATGGAGAAGAGTATATATATTCTTCCAAGGTTATTAAGTTGTAGCTTGGGTTCTCCCCTCCTCCCCACCCAATTACTACACCTTTCAAAATATACCCTCAAAATTGAACGGATTTGCTTATTCATAACTGGTGAACTTTAGGGATCTGCCAAAGGCTTTCACCTATTGTCAGCTGTTAGTCTGTTCCAGTTTTGGTACTGCCATTACTATTAGGGACATGGAAAGTATTTTTTAGGTGCTTTTAACATTCACAACTATTTTATGAGTTAAGGATTAGCCGTTTTACAGGTGAGGAATCATAATCAGACAAAAGAGATTTTTTTTCTAAGGGCACCAGTCTTAAATGGCAAAAGCTTGGGTTCAAACCTCTATCATACCCTGAACTCAGAGCTTGTAACTATTAACTGACCTACCTCTTAATTTACCGAGTCTTTGCTAAGACCTTGCATATTCTAGAGTACCAACACATTCTTCACTGGTGGCCTGGCCTTATCCTTGGGGGAATTAGCTCCTTTCACTTACGCATCTGACTGTGGAGGGCATTTCTCTACCTACTTTCTAACACTCTGACCTATGGAGAAATAAAGGGTTGCAGGGTTGGAAAGACTTCATTTTTGAAGCACCCTTCTTCAGACAGTGAACAGAGGAACCAGTTCCCTCTATTCCATCCCTGCTAGAAAGTCCTCTAAGGCCTCCAGAGTAGAACAATGGAATTAATTAGGGAAGCAGGGATGGTCAGATCCAATATCAGACATGAAATGCCATGCTTGGTGAGAAGATGTCATCATAGGATGAAGACAGAACTATGAAAGTTGTGATGTGTGGTTTGAAACACAGCCCTTGATCTTGTTCAAACCTAATACTACCACAGGTTCAGTCACGTTCTTTTTTGTGGGAAAGTTGCTGTAATGACTTGGAAGCTTTGGTGTGGTAAACCCAGAGAATTTCAGTAAAGGTAGGAAGACAGAATTTAGAACCAAGATTAAATGAGGAGGATAGAATTGCCACTGCAAGGTATCTGAAAAGGCTTTTGGGGGATATAAATTAGCCATCTTGATTATACAGGTGTCATTTTGCAGAGAAAACTTTTTTTCTCCTGCCACATAAAATAAAGCCATCCTCTTGCGGCATTCTTTCTACCGAGAAAGTTTCATTAGGTAAGATTTGGGGCCCTCTGTTGCCTTTGTCATTTCAGGTTCTGGACTTCCTTATGAGCAGCTTCTGGTGTGGGACTGGCAGCCAGGGCTAGAGGGGGACAGGCAATGCACTCACTCTCTCCTACAGGGCAGACCCCTGAAAGTGATGGTCTCCTTACACTTTGTCTCACTTGCTTTGCCTTAGTCCTCAACTCCTAGAGCTGGCAAGAGAACTCTCAGTTACATAGCAGTGAAGCCATAAAGGAACAGAAAAATGGACATTTAATGATAGGGTGGTGGGGTCAGCAAAGTGGCAACAGAGCTTATTAGTGTCTACTCAGGGCCAAATTCATTTAAAAGCATTCTAAAAGAATTCAGACAAAACAATTCTGAAGTTTGCAGTGTTTTTTTTTTTAATTAAAAAAAATTTTTTTTAATGTTTATTCATTTTCTGAGAGGCAGAGAGAGACAGAGCATGAGTGGGAAAGGGGCAGAGAGAGGGAGACACAGAATCCAAAGCAGGCTCCAGGCTCTGAGCTGTCAGCACAGAGCCCGCTGCAGGGCTCGAACTCACGAACTGCAAGATCAGGACCTGAGCCGAAGTCAGACCCTCAACCAACTGAGCCACCCAGGAGCCCCTGTGGTGTGTTTCTAAATGCTTATATAAGTATAGAAATCTCTGACTTGGGTATGCAGTCGGTTGTTGGTGAATGCCAACAAAAAGACTCCTCATAGGCTTTAATTCAGGTTAAGATCTGGTCTCTTGCAATTTAACCATGGTTCTGTGCGAATTTCCTTAGGACAGGGGCTGGCAAACTTTTCCTGCAAAATTCCAGACAGTAAATAAATATTTTAGATCTTTCTCGCCCTAGGGTCTGTAGAAATTACTTACTCTGCTGTTCCAGCACCAAAGCAGCCACAGGCAAAGTCCATAAAATGAATGGTCACAGGGTATGTTCCAATAAAACTTTATTTATAGAACCAAGTCCGCATTTCACTTGTGGGCCTTAGTTTGCCAATGTCTGCCTTAGACCTATAGGAAAATGCTCAGTGCTATAAGAGCTTTGTGGGAAGAAAAAAGAACAAGTTTGATTTGCTTTTCTAGAAATTACTGAGTTCACATTCCAGTATGTATAAAAGAGGCTAAAAATATTTCTAAGAAAGGGATGAGATTTCTCGATCAGGTTGGATTAGTTGCGTAAAATAGTCCCTGACACTTGATATTGCAAAACAGATGCCATTGCCCAAAGCAGGGAAATCAGTAACAATTACAACCTATCTGTACAGTTATTCACTTTATACCGTAAAGCCAGGGGAGGTTCTCACCTGTCTTCTCTTCTGCCCTGTAGGACTGTTCCTTATTCTGGGTTTGATACTCTACCCTGCTGGCTGGGGCTGCCAGAAGGCCATAGGCTACTGTGGACACTATGCATCGGCCTACAAACCCGGAGACTGCTCCTTGGGCTGGGCCTTTTACACCGCCATCGGAGGCACAGTCCTCACCTTCATCTGTGCTGTCTTCTCCGCACAAGCAGAAATTGCAACCTCCAGTGACAAAGTACAGGAAGAAATTGAAGAGGGGAAAAGCCTTATATGCCTCCTTTAGTTTGAAAGAGACACAAATGCCACTTTCTGCCCATGTAACCTTGTGAAACAGCACCCCTCTGGTTTCATCATCTGAGTCAAGTGAAGAACTAGCCTTTATCTACCAAAGCCTACATTCCACAGCCTTGAGCCTTAACAGGACCAATGAGAGGCAACAATCAGCTAAGTGATGGCACTCGAGGACCACAGTGCAAAATGTCAGAGATGGAATATAAAAATACTGCATGAAGCCTGACACAAGTTGACAAGTCTGTCTGACTCCATCTTCCCCAAGGCTCAACAAAGGATAATGACCTAAACCATTAAGGCCACAGTTCTTCTGGTAACAGAGGAGATTGTGAGCTAGATTTTCAGGCTATTTTGAGATGTGTTTCTGCCACAAGGCTGCATGCCTGTGAGCATCTCTGCCTCAGAATGAGGTTTGGGGGTTGGTGTTTTTGTCTCCTCCTAGTTCTTCCAAGTTTTCTCAGAGACTAAAAATGAAGACTGCATACTTACTGGGGATAGGGATGTGTGCTCAAGGGCATACAAGACACTGCCTCTTAATTAGCTGACCGAGGGGTGAGCAGGTCAGTGTGGAATGCTGTTATGGAACTTATTCTAGGCTGAATTCCAGAGTAAGGTAGATCTATTGAACTGTAATTCCAAGATTTTAGAAATTTGACTAAGGAAAGAGTAAGGACTTGTATGATCATAAGAATAAAGAAGAAAATCCTGCTAGTGAAGACAAACCCATTCCACTTCCCAGCAGTCAGGCTAGCACCAGTACTGGCCCAGTCTCCTCTTCCAATGGAGATCACATGTTTTTCTCCTAGGGTTAGGATTGAGCTTTGACTGCCAAAGGAAACCTCACCCTGTTTCCTCATTCCAGGAACAGAGATCTCTAGGCCAGCTGTGGCTCATTCAGATGTACAGTGGAAGAACTTGCCAGAATCTCAGCACTTGTGGGGAGACCTCTTCCCACTGGTAACCATGTGGTAGTCAGCTGTATTTCCAACCCCAGCAGCAACTGAATGACATTCTTTGCAGGAAAAACGGAGCTAGTCATCTAAGTCAAGTTTCTCCAGTTACTGGTATTGATCCTGAAAGCAGACTAAAATAACATTAAAATTACTGCAATGGGTAATTTGCATCAAAGGCTTCATACCCAAAAATGCACAGAGTAGAAAGTTAATACAAAAATGAGAGCGAAACCAAGCCTAAAGCACCTGCCTATAACTGTTTACAAAAATAATGGAACACCACTATTAAAAAGGATTCAGGAGACTTTAATCTAGTTTCTGTAAGTTGCCAATAAAATGGATTGAGAAAAATGGTATTAGCCATCACTTTAAATTTACTTTGGAATGATCTCAGTGGCAAGAACCCAGTTGGGTATTGCCCCAAGCTTCAGAACTGCAGAATGATACAGAAATTTAAGCAAGTGGAGTTGGACCTGTGAGATTTCTGGAAGAATTAAAAGGATAGGTCTATTTGGGCTTATGAATCTGCTCACGTGACAGCTTGCTTTGTTTTGAAAGCTTAAATAATTTACTCTGTACCTGCTCTGTGTAAGGTATTGTATTCTAAGTGCCATCAGGCATAGAACCCTGATTCAGATTTTACGACCTTGCCCCAGTGAATCATCTTGAGGCTGACTCTAAAACCATGCCTTGGTGCAAAACAAATAACTGCTTTATACATAGATGCAATGGAGTGACTGAAGTTTTATTCCCTTCTGGCCTCTGGTCTATACCACAAATCATCCTATCACACAAATTAAAAGCTAAGGGCAGGAGGGGTGGTGGTGTAGAACCCGGCCTTAATGAGTTCACCAGTGTTCCACCAAAGTTCAAAATAAGCAAGATGCAGTCCTAGGACTTCTTTTGAAAAGAGAAGGGGTAAATAGGTATCCTCATAGCAGCCCTCGGTACAGCCTCAGGAAACAATCCTATCAAACACCACACAGAAATAGGTTACGGCAGCCAATGGACAGGGCTCCTGTCCCTGACTGTGCATTTATATGCTCTCACCAAGCCTCAATGCCCATAGTAACTACTTTTTAAACCTGAGCAGTAATTTTCATTAAAAAAAAAAAAAATTCCTTTTATCAGAAGATTCACTCTATTTTATGCTGTAAAAAATAGAGAACGCATTTCCTAATTCCCTAACACTAATTTTATACTCTAACTTTCCTTCTTACAGACAAGTTCAAGTCCTAAGCCCTGACACTCCTCTGAGCATGTCCATCATCTTTACTGTCTGATTGCTCTTCGGCTTAGGTGGTGATGTATATCTGGAACACCCTGATAACAGCAGTCACAAGTGTAAACCTTACTTGGCCAGTGTTCTACTCCATCAGTCTGAATGCTACAGAAAACAAAACACATGCACACACACATAACCCCAAACCACTAAAAACTACTTAAATGCTGACTGAGTAATCAGAGATGGAATTTCTCTAGCAGAGACAGAGTAAGAAGTAATGTTGGGCCTTTTAAACCTTCAGTCCATTAGCTAGGCTTTGGGGAAAATGGACCATTAAAATCATGCTAGTCTACACCAAAACTGTACAGCTGTTTAAAAACCACTGAATATGAGGAATGTGTTGACCCACACTTTGGTAATTAATATCAATCACCTCATCACCTCAGTCTCAAAGTCTAATACACCTGGACCATTACTACTACCAGAAAAGTCTTATTTATTTTTGCCTGCATCAGCGCTTAAAGTTTTGTGATGGGCTGGGCTTCTCAATGAACTCCAAGAAGGCAGAAATATCTGCCTTGGATTCTGTGGATTTTTTTAAACCTGTGTGCTAATTCAACAATGTTACATTCATTGTGTAAGGGTTTTTGTATAGTTTTCAAACCTCTGTGGTGTAATGATCTTTGTTAAACATGTAAAGTGCCATAGTCTTTTTTTATGTGTAGCATATTTAAAAAATATATATGTATATTATACATACACAAGTCTGTGTGAAAGATGTGCAATAACAAAGGTGTATGTATGTTTTGTTTTTTTTGGAAACTGGACAGGAGTCAGAACAGGGATTGTTTCTGTTTTGGCAAAGGAGAGGTAAACATTTTTTGCCTTCATGGCCTAGTCATTAACCCGTAACAATTTAAATGCTACACAAACCGATGTGAAGATAAGACTGGTATGCAATCATTTATTCCTGGGTCTAAATTAAAATAATCACTAGATTTACGTGAAAATTAAGCCAGCACCAGGCCCAGTGAATGCTAGTCTTTCATGTGAAATGTGAAGCTGCCATGTTGCCTTTTCTGTTAGTGTGATAACTAGTAGCTGGTACATAATCACTAAGGAGCTATTTCTTAACACGCTTTGATAGACCATGTTAATGCTAGACCACTATTTAAGGGCTGCTCTCACACCTTTGTAGCCATAAGAGTCTGGCTTAGAACAGACCTCTCTGTGCAATAACATGTGGCCACTAGAAATCCCTGGCCTGTATTTGTACTGGGGCAGCAATGACTCCCAAGGGCCAAAAGAGTTAAAGGCATGACTGGGATTTCTTCTGAGACTGTGGTGAAACTCCTTCCAAGGCTGGGGGTTCATTAGGTGCTTTGGAGGAACTCAGCATCACTTGATATTCAGTAGCCACTTGAGCCAAATAGAAAATTGTATTTACCGCTAATGGACTCAATTTGAGCCTTCAAATTTGTGGTTATCCTATTGTATTGTAAACTAATACATTGTCTGTCTAGCATTGATTAGGTTCCTGTGCATATGTTATTTCACAATGCCCTCCCCTCCCCAGATCTTAATTAAACCAGATTTTCGAAACTCATCCTGATTCTTTTCAAGTTTAAGTCTATTGGTTTCAATGGGATATATACAAGTTTCTCAAGAAAACATATACCAGTCAAATTTTATGATAAACCCTAATTTATATGTAATATTAACAACAGGAAAAAATATTCAGGTACTTTATTCCATTCACTAGTAACATATATATCCCTACCTTAGGTTAGCTTTAACTTTAATATTAAGTACACATTTCTTCCTTGGAGAAGCATCAATATAAATGGGGGGGGGGACTCTCAAATACTATACAAATACCTTAAATTTTATAGTAAATTTAAGAAATATGAAAATGCTTCTAAGTATTACAAAGGCTTTACAAAGAAATATGTGTAATAATGACAAGGAAGAAAGTCAGATGAAGGGCACCGTCTCTTCCAATATGAAAAGCCAGTTGTGGAACAGTTCCACATCCACATTTCTTGAAGGTAATCCTGCCCATAACAAGCCTTATCAAGAAGGAGAATTCTAATTTATTAATGAAAGATGACACAATCTATTTCATAAACTCTGATTCAACTCTCCATATCCCATGAAGCACTTATCTGACAGAATAAACAAAAATGGCTATTTCTTTTCTGATTGAGGACCCATAACAGATGAAACAACATTTATGCTTTGGCTTCTAAACATACCTGAAACCTGCTAGGTTTCTGATAGAAGTAAAAATTAAAAGCTGACAAAACTATTCGAATCACTCAAGAAAAAATATTCCAAACAAGTTATCTAAATATCTCAAGCAAAATTGGAAATTTTTGGTTGCTTTTTCAACTATCACATCTTTAATCCAAAAGAGAAAGGACCCTGACTTTACATGCCAGCAGAAGCTGGAGAATCCTCATAATTGCTTCCCATTTCATCCTTAGTTTTTACCTAGTGCTACTGGATCAGCTTCTCAGGATTGATCTCTCTGAACACTACATTCAGCTTACTCCTAGCTCTCCTTAAAGTCTTTGCTTAACATTAAAACTACTTAAGAACAGTCATGACTATCTTGGACATTTATTTTTAAGTGAGTGTTTTCAGGAATTTCCAATAATTCACCATCTTTTCAACTCTGCAACACTAAAGGATAAAAACAACATCAAAGCAAACTTTTAGCCTCCTCTTCAAAGCAGCAAGAACCAGTAACTGTCTTTATTTCAGAGTCCATGTCAGCTGCTTAATCATTTGGCTGGGGCCATGCAATTGCTGTCCCTACTACTATCTTCTTCCTTGCAGCTTCTTCCTCACCACATAGAGTTCTACAAGATAAGTCTTTAAATTGTAAACTGCTCATTTTGCTGAGGAATACAGGATGTAGATAAAAGCATAAATAAGAGGAAGCAGTAAAACCACATGGGAAGGAAAAGTCAACCAAATAACATGTAGATATGTGCAGCTCTTTGGCTTTTTATAGTAAAATATACAGAAAAATCTAACATTTATAGGCCAGCAGTCAACCAAGTGTCCAAGGGGGATACCACTTTGACCTATCCGCAAGAGAACAAAGCCTGAATTAAGGCAGGTGATGGTGAAAACTGTAAGATGAATTAGATAGGTTCTGGAAAAAAAATGGACAGCTTGGTGACTAGTCAGAAGTGGGAGGGGGTGTGGAAAGAGAGGAAGAGAGAGTCCAGAGTGACTTCCTATTTAAATTGGGCACTGGGTGAAAAGTGATGCTGTCGCCAAGATTAGAAATCCAAGAGGAGCAGAAACAGTAAAGGTGGGAGGGTTCAGCTTAGGCTGCCAGTGGAGAAGTCCTGTGTGCGGTCCGGAAAAGGATATGGAGAGAAGACCAAGTTATACAAGGAGATCTGGAAGTCATCAATACACACGATGGAATATAAAAGTTCTTAATTGCTGTGCAGTTTCTCTGTGCATGTACTGTCTTAAGCACTTAATATAATTCATTTATTCATCAAAACTCAATGAAAAGAAAATTATTCTCATGTTACAGATAAGTTGTTACTCAAGCAACTTAAGTTAAATAATTTAGGTTAAAAAGCCACAAAGTGGCAAAGCCAAGGCTCAAAGACAGTTTTGACACCCAAGTCTATATATTCTCAAACAGCTGTAGATTCCTTCACCTCGAAGGTACATGGTGAAAAGAAGGCCAATACAAACCGTGGGGGAACACCAACATCTCTGTGTAGGTAAGTCTCAGAATAACTTCCAAGTACCATTCCAAAAAGACCGTAAGCTGACAAATGACAAAAACTGCTATCTCCTCCCTTTTCAGAGAAAGAACTGGTAGTTTTTCATACCTTTGAAGAGGACACCACATGTCTCAATTCACTCAATCCTGAAAACGGCCACTAAAAGTTAATTAGGTATATGACAGCGGTAATACAAATAGTGGTTTCATAGTTCTTATTTTGTTATAAACAACCTCTCATCCAGGATAAGCAGCTATTATTATTAGCTTAAAAAGCCCGTTTTCTTCATAGTTAACCTAATAAGGATTTGACCTCAGCTAAAGTTTCTCCAAACATAAACACAAATGCCAAAGACCATTTGGTAATGGTACAGCAGGTACTCACCCACACATCACAGAGCCAGGCCTTGATGTGGAGACTTCAAAAGTACATGCTGTAATTTTTTTCTTGGTTGTGGATTGTTTTTTTCCTAGAGTCCTATCCCTAAAGGATGGATATGAATTATGGATATTAATGTGAAAAAATGGAAAGGGAACAAAGTTGGAAAGAAGTGGTACCATGGGGCAAAGATCCCATATGTAACAGGAGTGAGGAGACACAGGTCTAGCTGCCCCTTCACCACCACTCACTGAGTGACTGAGATAATTTTCTACTCATCTATAAAAATGCAGCCAGTAATAGAAATTACATCATAGGTCTGGTGTGAGGATTAAGTGATGTATGTAAAGCATTTAGTATACTCTCTGGTATAAAGTCCTCACTAAATAAAAGTTATTAGATGAAAAAATTTTGAAGAATAACATAACTTGTTAAAACCAATCTAATTTTACCTAGAGAGCCTCAATGGATTTGCTACCTGAGGCCACCAATGCTTTTTCCATCCTAATTATCCTTATCTTAGTGCTTTCAGGAAGTGGAAGATTTCTCTGTAGATTCAGGATACATGGTCACTCCTATTTAGCAAAACCAAAAAACAAACAGGTTAGTGTTGAATAAGCCATTATCTGTCGACAGTGAGAATCTAAAAGAACAAACCTGTAAAACCTACTGGTGGCAAAGACTTTAGAAAAGAACATCCAATTTGGCAGAGTGTGGATAAAGAGACCATTTCAG